AGTCACAGAAAGTGAAAACCAACGAATTGCAGCATATACTAAGATTCAAAATGCCGGTAGAGCCTTCCCGTTACCCCTTCATTGCTGGTGTCGCCTAACTGTCGCACCAAGCAAACTGAAATTTCATATACCATAAACCCTAAACCCTAAATCCTAAACGCATTGTGTTAAGTAAGAGAGCTGTTGCAACACACAACCAAAACAGTTCACATACAGAAAAAGCAATCTGTACTAATTTGCAAACGAAGCACTGCAGGCGCTCGTTTGCTAGTTTTGTGGGTAAACATATGAGTTCAAAATTTCCTAGAAACATCATGAAAGCTGTTATTTCAAGTGGCTAATGGCTTTCATGAGCTGCGTCTAAGAATACTCTGCGTGAGTCTAGAGAAGTTGAACGAAGCTGCATACGCGCGATCTGAAACAACAGCATAAAGTTTTTGTTTTAAAAAAAAGATGAATATCATTTGAAATAATTTTCCTTTCATTTTATCCAACTACATTAAGCACTGCGATCGCATAGATACGGCAATGGCGTCCACTTGCACTGAGAAAGCTGCATTACTCCTGCTGCTTTTCTTACGCCTTTCGCCAGCATCTTGGGCAATCTCTGCAGCTCTTCAGGATATTTCAAAACTAGAGAAAGTATTAATCCCTGAGAAAATGCAGCTAAAGATTCACTTGTTTCCTCATCCTCATACAAATTCTTGCATTCATCTTCTATAGACTGCAACGCGAAACCCTGCCGCCTACTCAGTTTCAGATACTGCTCGAGAGAACATCTTAGGAAAGCTGTTGCAGATACAGTCATCGTCTGTGTAGTTTTTGCTGTTGTCATGTGAAGAGAACAAACATCTGCAGTTTCAGTTTCAGTTTCAGTTTCAGCTTTCCGGTTGCTTTCAGGGCCCCGGGGCACTGCGCTTGTGTTTAGATGCTGCAGCAGATCCAGCTGTACAAATAGCCGCAACACAGTCAGCACTTCCAGCTGATTAAACTGTATATGATGCTGCATAAAGTAGCTGGCGATTGCATGCAGCACCTGCTGCAGCAGTTCAACATCTAGGAGTTGCTGGCGCAGCAGCAACGGCTGCTTCCGTTCTTCCCAGTTATCTTCACTCCAGCATGCAGCACTTGCTGCTGCCTTCATTTCAAGCAGCAGCAGCAGACGGAGGCCCTCAGCAACCTGTGATACATCTGCTGCTGCTGCAGCAGCAATACCACCCACCAGAGGCAGCAGCAGCTCCCGTGCAAGCTGCTGCTGCTGCTGCACTGAGGCGCAGGAGGCTTTGAGGATCCTCGCTGTGGCCCAGAAGACAGTACACCAGCTCCCATAAGCAGCAGCAACCTCAGCAGCAGCAGCAGCACTTGCTGCTGCTGATGCTGCTGCTGGTGCTGCTTCAGGTCGGCTGCCAGCAGCAGATTCCACACAAGCTGCTGTGCTGTTGCTGTCGTGTGCAGCAGGCGCAGCAGCATCTGCTGCAGCAAATGAAGCAGCAGCAGCAGTTTTGTCTCTTTCACCTCTCCCTGTTCTCCTTTCAGCTGTTGTTGAGCTCCTGCGGCTCTTGTTCTCTTTAAGATAGGTGTACGTACACCCGAAAAGAGAAGAAGAAATACAATTAAAAACAAAGCGAAGCTGCTGCTCATCCAGGCTAAGACCAGCAGCAGCAAGAGAACGACAGACAGATGCAAGAACACCTGCAGGCATCCTACCCGGCTGTGATTGCCGTAATACAGCAGCAGCAGCAGCAGCAGCAGCAGCAGCAGCAGTTGGTGGCGATGCATCAGGAGGAGCAGAGGGCTGCTCCTCCTGATGCATCGCCACCAACTGCTGCTGCTGCTGCTGGTGCTGCTGCTGCAGCTCTCTGTGCTGCTGCTGCTGCTGGTGCTGCTGCTGCAGCTTCCTGTGCTGCTGGTGCTGCTGGTGCTGCTGGTGCAGATGCTGACGGTGTTGGTGGTGATGCAGCAGCTGCTGGTGATGCTGG